AAAAATATTATGGATCACATATCAAATAGAAAAAATGAGAAGATTGAAATATAAGTATTACATTTTTGGGGGGAAAAAAAGGGTAATGACTCCATGACACCATTCATGTTTAATTTCCTAGTTTTTATTTAAAATAGGGCATTTTTATTTGCTTTTTTAAAAAAATATTATATTTTTATGGGTTCAAGGTAGAATTCTTTGAAAAAAATGGCTTTTAAATAAAAACTTTCTTGAAAATATATTTTTTGTTAAGTGAAAGAATTATGTTGAAGTAATGAATTAAGAGAAATAAATTATTAGAGTCAGTATTTTCAGATATTTATAATAACAATTATAAGGTAATTATGGATGAAATACATAATAATTAATGAATTTACACAATTTAAATATGGAGAATATTGGTGTAAAAATTGTGACACATAATGGACTAAAACTGGTGCTACCTTTGTAAAATAGTATCACCCTGTCAGATGTGTATGTCTATGTATGTCTATATGTACTGGCATTCATAGAATGGATAGCAAGGGTGGAAAAGGACAAGGGCCGAAAAAACATATCCACAAAACCAACTTTGACAATCATCATTGTAATGTCACTCCATGTTTGGGTTGGTGACTAGCACAACAACTACCTCTTCTTAAAACCTCTCTTCATGGCCTCTTTCTCTATTGATAATTTAGCTCTCAAGTGGTAACATCTTATTATCCTAAACATTAGTTTAATCAGAGTTTCTCTTTCACTACATGCGAGCTAAGCAAGTATCTTGGGATTACAACCTTGGTAATATGTTTCAATTATCAAACTAATGATGCATGTATATTTAACTTATCGTGATCGTGTTAAGTCGGTGGCCAACCGGAGAGAAGCATGTTGTCAGTGATTTAATTTTAGTTTACTTATGATGAGAATTGAGCTAAGAATCCTAAGATGTGCGTAAAGGAGAAAGGGTTAAAATAGAATCTGTATTAGTATTTAATTGCAAGTAGACCATAGTTGTTAACCTTAAAAGTTTTGGTGCTAGGGTTTTGCGGCATCATTTGTCTCATTTCAGCTGCCTAGCTTCTAGTTCAGCACTTCTCAAGAAGCTTTTGTTTGAAAAGCCCAAATTTCGTTTTGTAAAAAGTTTATAAACAAACATTCATCTCCTGAATTAGACATTTATCTCTGTATTTTTTTAAATTATTTAAAAAAACCCTAGACAGAGACCAACTCGATTAATTGTTTGTTACTTGGAACAGTTGAACTAAAAGGAGATGTGGGGGCATCAAGAAAAGTGGGCATGTGCTTGATCAATTCCAAATTAATTTGTGTGGTGGAGAGACAACGCTTGTGGGGGGAGATGGACAATTGTATGGCCACGAGTGTATTTTCTGCTGAGAAAACTTCTCTCCACGGGAGGATTTGATATTTTGTTAGGCCTTCAAAATGATTCTTTGGCTTGTCCTGCGGTGACCTCTTCCCTTGGGCATGTGTGGCAAACAGTCTAGGTGTGGCATTATTCTGGTTTGGGATTGGTCTATTTTAAGATGAAATTTATTCATAATTTTATTAATATTTAAATTTCAAAAAATAGTAAAAAAGATATTTAAGCCATTATTCTACAAATAAATGAGGCAATATAATAAAAAATATAAAAATTTAAATGGCATATATTTCGATAAGGATAAAAATACAAGTTCGATTATCTGAAAATGTACTTGTTAGAAAGAATTTTAATTTTTTATACTTCTAACTTGAAAGAGATTTAATATCGAGTCAAAATTAATCTAAATTTACCCTTGATTTCACAAAAAAGCAAGTCATATTTTAAAAATAAATGAGTTAATAAAATAAAATATATAATCCTACCAATAAGTGATGGTTTAATAAGCAACTTCCATCTAGTAAAAGTAAAAACACAAGTTTGATCATCTGAAAAAATCATTGTTAGATAGAATTTAAAATTTTATACTTTCAACCTGAAAAAATTTGATCTTATGTCAAAATTAGTTTAAAAAAATACTCTTAATTTTACAAAAAAAAAAAATATAATAAAATATAGAAACTTAAAAAGGAAATTTTTAAATGAAGTGACCAATGAAGCCATGATTCTTGTTCATTAGCTTTACAAAACTAGAAATCATGGCCACACATGTCTCCATATTTTAGAAGAGATTCCAGGGAATTTGAACCGAGCCACGTGTGGTCTGGTTGGTATGTAAAGCATCTTTCTTTTGGTAAACATCATCTTATTATTCTTCCCATCAATGTTCCATCATAATTTTAATACCTTTCTTGTTTGCATGCATCAACTTTTTGAACTTGTACCTTCCATTTTTTTCTACTAGAGTCAACTTTTTATCATGATTTTTTTATATTTTTTAAATTAATTAAAAAATTTAAATTAATCAAATCAAACTTATTCGATTTGATTGTAATCAGTGAGCTCGACATGGTGGACACAATCATGCATGGTGGTGGTTCAAATTTCTCCTTTTGGTTTCTTGATTTCATGATCTTGTTGGCTGCCAGTTGCCAATCTAATTAAAAAGGTTACATGTGATAGATTAAGAACGCGTTTGGATAAGAATTTTTCCAAAAAAATATTTTTCAAAAGTGATTTTCTCACAAATTACTTCATACTAATTTTGAAAATAACCACATGTCTGATTTTTTTAAATGCTTTTTAAAAACTTATATTTGAATTCTATAAGAAGTGTTCTTTTTAACAACAAAAAATTTATCCAAACATACCCTAAAGTCAAAATCCAAGGAACCTTTCTTTTCTTTATTCACACAAAGTCTGAACTAAGTTTCCTGGAAATTGCTTTTCACCTTGCATATTGAGAGAGGAGGAGCTATATGCCAACTTCCAATTCAGGTGATATTTATGTGTGTGTGTGTGTGTGTAGAGAGAGAGAGAGAGAGAGAGAGAGAGAGAGAGAGAGAGACTTCTTATGGAGGAAAATGGAGATTTACTTAGGATCCATGGTGTAGCCCGTGTAGCTTAACTAAATTGTGCCTGTATCCATCTTTAAAGTACAACTCTTTATATATTTTATATATCAGTTTGTCCGTATTGGAGAAACAATCATAACTCAAAAATTAACTTGATTTAAACGGTATAATATTTTTAAATTTTATTTAAAAATTAAAAATTACTCTTAACCCTCACCCCCTCTCAAATTTCAAGTTCTAATATATCCAAAAGAAATTAAAAATAAAAAATAGCCTTATTCCCATCCCAGAAGAAAAATTGAAAACAACAAGAAAATATAATCGGAGGATTGAGATGAGATTAATGGCCACAAGTTTTTCTCTCTGCTTTTATGCTGAGATAGCCTATCAATAAACCTGGATTTGTCACTGGATAAGGATAACCATACACAATGGACAGCTATGTCCCCAGGATTGAAAGCTATCGAAGTTCATGTGATCTAATGCTGCTAAGCGGGAATAACCTGGTTCTTGAATAGGACCACTCCTTATCCAACTAATCTTCCCAAAAAAAAAAAAATTAAAGCAGAAAAAACGAGTAAGACAAGTGAATAACATAATATCCCAAGAGGATATGAAACTTGGTTTCTTATCCCCCACAAAAATACGCGTTGCAACTTATTCCAAATTATAAATTAGCGGAGGAGAACGATAGTTACAATACCAAACCATTTGAACCTTTGTAGTTTTGAAAATGACCAACATGAAAGTGCAAAGCAAAAGATTGAATTACCTAAGTACCATATGGCATAACTTTCGGGCTATTTTTTATTTGTAAAAAAATATTAATTTAATAATATAGTACTATAAGTCATTATATATTGACATATATAAAAGAAATTTAAATTTATTGTATAACTTTTAACTGTTTAACTTGTTAATAATATGATATTTTATTTTACATTAGTTTTTAGTATAATATTACATAATATATAAAATTTTTAAAAATGACTATGAAAAAATTGAAGTTAAATATTTTTTTGCCGACACTTCATACTTAATAAATTATTAAAATTAGTAATTCTTGAAACATTACAAATAATTTTGAAAGTTATTACTGAATAATTTAAATTTAAATATTTTAAATTAATTGTTCAAATTTAATAAATTATTAGAATTAGTGATTTTTGAGTCATTAAAGATAATTACAAAATTATAACAACTAGGGTTGCTTAAAAATCAGCCGAACCACCAAATGAAAAATATGATCAACTTATTCAGTTAAGTTATTTTTAAATCAAACTGAATATTTCAATTTCGTTTTACTCTTAGGTTTTGCACAAACAGATTTAAACTCAATCAAACTGAAGTTAATTGCTAATATTTATACATTTAAGTACATAATTAAATAATTATTTTATGTCATATACTACTACAATTCATTATATTTCAATTGCAAAATTCTCTTTAGAATTCAAAATTGACATATTTAGTTAATTCAAATGTTAAAACTTTGCGTTCTGAATTAATTTAAATTCAGTAACAGATTAATTTTAATTAAAAAATTATTAAAAAGTTTCTTATATTTCCAATGCCAGGTCACGATTCTCGCTTCGAAAATTCTGTCCCTGCCCGAGATTTGTTGGGGTTTTCCTAAATCGCTGTGATTGGGCCGGACTGGATGAGAGGCCCAACTTATAGCCCTCCGCTCAGGCCCACCAGCCACCGACTGTAAGAGACAAAATAAAAACAGCCGCCTTAACAGGGTAATTATAAAATAGAACCTTTTCTCAATTAGGTTCAGGATCTCTAGGGCTTGAAGGTTGCTCTCAAGTCCAGTGAGCCTTTATAAAAATCATCAATTAGAAGGTTCAATTCCATTCAGTGAGTTAGGGTTTTGGTATAATCTGAGAGATGCCGCAGAGACACTCGAAGAACAACAACGATCTCGCGTTCTTCACGTACGATGAGAGCGAAAGCTTGGATACGGGACTCAGAAGGAGAGGCTTGGCAAGGACTCGATCAAGCCGTTTGACGCGTGTTGCCTCTGTTTGAAGCCCTTTATTGACCCTATGTGTTGCCAGAAAGGCCACGTTTTCTGCAAAGAGTGCATTCTCGAGTGCCTGTTGGCTCAGAAGAAAGACATTCAAAGGTCAGCGGCTTCTTCTTTGAGCCAATTGGAACCCTACTAATCACGGTTTGGTGTAGTTTTGTTTTATCAGCTGATTAGCTTGGGCTTAAATCCTCCTGTTAATAATTTTTTATGCTTTTTATGTCTGTGCTTATATGTTTTTTGATTTGATATTGAGGGTTGTGAGATGAATTTCTATGGAAATCTTTAGGGCGGATTCATGTAGTCTGACTTGTGAGTGAACAAATAGGTCTCTTTGTTTGAATTGAAGTTATACAGGGCGTTATTTTCATTGCTATCCTTTTCCACTATTGGAAATTTAGAATGCATAGATGGATAGCTGAATGATGATTAAGAAACATGGTGACTTTGCATCTTCCGCAGTGAATGCAGTGATTTGAAGAGTTACTTAGGATAGGATAGTAACTATTCTTTGCCATTGATTGGACGAGTTGTTGGAAAATTAAAGGTAGATGAATAATTTTCAGGCGAATCAGGAATAGTGTTGAGTCATGTAAGCTATTGCTTGTGGTTGAAGAACTGATCACTAGAAAGAATAATATGATTGGCTTTTACTTTGAATTAGAGTTTGCTGCTTCAATTGAAAGTTTGATTCCAATGTCATATGGAAGGCAGAAATGGAACTTTTAGTCCTTTTATTTCCTGTGGACTTTTGCTTTGAATTAGGTAACAACTAGTTATCTTTAATTCAGGAATCAATCCTTCCAAATTCATTAACACTGTTAAGGGGCTACTATGCATCTCAGTTAAATTTCACTGGCAGCATGCACACCAGACGCACCATACATGGTGATATATGATTGGTGATCTTGTATTAATATTTAGGACAGACTAGCCTACCTTTTTGCAACATAACAGGGATTAAAAAATGGCTGATGTTTGACTGGTAAATCATAGCTTCTTTCCAATGTTACTTCCTTCCAGCCATCATGTTGTGGAACTTTGATTTGATAAGTCATTACCATATATACATATGTTTGTCTTGGATTACTTAAGTTTAAAATTTTTAAATTTCTATTTCATATTTTATTGTTGTTGTTATTTTTTTTATGTAAATTAATTATGGAAATATTGTGGATCTCACATGCATTCATGTATCCATTGTCTAGTTTTTCTTGTTGTTGTTTTTATACCACTAAAATGTGCTGATGGTTTGGTTACTATTACCATGTTATTATGTTCTAGCTACAGTTTTTTTGTTGGCGGTGATACTTACAAATGATAACTGCTGCCCTTCATTAACTCACGTTTAAAGCTAGCAAGGAATAAATAATGTGTTTGCTGGAATGCTTGCAAGTTAATCCTGAAGGATGAGAACTAAGAGATTTTTTTATTGAGGAATCTTTTTATGGTTTTTTAGTTGGTTTGTGTGTTTGAAATTTTTCATGGGATGAAACTGATCTCGACTAGTTGCCTTTGCAGAAAGTAAAGTGGTCATAAATCTGTATTGTCAGCTTGGATATCTCTGTTCGAGTGATATCAGAACCTGGAAGTTTCACTCGTTTAGTTTGTGTCAATAGCTGCCGTTGACAAGAAAAATATTTTTAATATATATTTTTAAATTTCTGTATGCAGTTTTTTCTTTGTGTATGTCTTGCTTGCAACTGTAGCTTTGTATGCACACCTATATTTATTTGTTTTCATTTCTCAGTCAGGGGTGGGATCCTGCAATCTAATCACCATTCTTTCTTATTCGGGGGTGGGATCCTGCAACCTCATTACTATTATTATTAAGGTCACATGCCACTTTTTTGGGTGAGGTGCTTCCAAGATCAAAATTGCTTCTTTGGTTGTATTTCAACCCTGAAATGTTGCTATGGACAGGACAACAAAGTTAAGGATGTTTCCAACAGAAGATGCAGAATAATGAATATTTTTGCACATTGCCACGTCAAACCTATTTTTAGTAGTTTGTGTTGGTCATATCTTGCTTACATGCTAACATGATTTTCTGTGTCTACTTGTTTGTGACACATTTTCTGTTTCCTTTTTGTAAATGCTTATGGCAGGAAGTTAGCTGCTCATGCTGCTCAGCAGAAGCAAGAAAAAGAAGAGGAAGAAGAGAAGTTAATGCTGCAGAAAGCCAGAGAGCTCGATGAATTTGATCAGCAAAACCATGGTGCAATGCCACAATACAGTGATAAGACTCATAGCAAGGATAAGAATGGCTTCCATGGAGCTAATAGCGTGAAGGCCACTTCATATGAGGAAGAAGCACTCCGAACAATGAAAGCATTTTGGCTTCCTCTGCCACTCCCGAAGCAGCCATTAAAGTAGAAGCCCCATCCACCAATACAATCTGTCCCGAAGGCAAGGAGAAGCTCAAGTTGAAAAGCCTTTTTCCCGTCTACTTCACCGAAGACAATTCTGATGAAAAGAAATCAAAATATCTCGACAGATCTTATATATGCCCCAGCTGCAAGGTGACTCTTACAAATACGCTGTCGCTTATGGCTTTAAGTTCTTGTGGGCATGTGTTTTGCAAGAAGTGTGGGGATAAGTTTATGGCCGTTGATAAGGTTTGTTTGGTCTGTAACAAGGGATGTAAAGAGAGGAACTTGATTCCCTTGGAGAAAGGAGGGACGGGATTTGCTGCCCATGGGGATCATCTGATGGCAACAGATTTCAAGCATTTGGGTAGTGGATCTGGATTGGGGTTGGTTAGGCCTGCTGCGAAGACATAAGTTGAAACCAGCAAAGAGGATGAAGTGTATTACCACAATTCAGGATCATTTTCTTTGGCCTTTCGTGTAACATTGTCCTAGACATTGTACTCTGATATATATAGCGTGAATGCTTTCCAGCTTCAAGCTTTTCCATGTATTTTGATTTCCAAAGCCCTGTTTGGGGAGGGCAGCTTTTGATTTTTTGAAAGATTGGGCTCTTATCTCACATAAATCAAATGCAAAAGTCAATTTAACTCTTTATAATTTTAAAAAAGTCTTGTCACGAAAACTTTGTTTATTTCCAAAAGCTCCAAAGCAGACATAACAGTTCTTTCGTGTGTTTATATTTCTTTTCCTTTTGGTACAGTGGAAGCTTAAGTATAAACTAGTGGTCATAACACTTCAGCTGAGCTTTTAAGTTCTTCATGTGCGTATACTTCTAGCTGTGCTCTACGTGAGTCTCTAACCGGCACGTCTTCCCTGGATTCCAGGCCAATATCAATGAAGCCCATTTCAATTCTCTGCCCTTATCCTTTTGGGTGTTAAAAATTAGTTTTTTGTGGCCGTGTCCCGCTAAGATACGTTACAAGATTTATAATTTTATTTAAATTATATAATATTTATTTAGTATTAAGTAATATTTAATTAAAAAAATAAACGATAATATAATAAAAAATATTTTACATAAAATATTTTATAAATACTATTTATCATCTTTATTTTATAAGAGTTCAGAATTTAGTCTTATTTGATATTTTTTATTAATAATAAGAATATTTTTATAAAAAAAGAAAAATAAGTAACTTGTTAAGATCAAATAAAACAATTATACATCTTTTGTTTTATAATACCATCTTTTTTAATCTAATATTTATTTATTTCATAATTTTTTAAAATATTTTTGATACATATACTAAATATGTATTAAAATAAATTAAATTAATTTTATATTTATCTCACCGCCCACCCAATCGCATCACAATAAAAAATTGTCTCCTCGTCCAATGGAGGGGACCCGAAGTTGGACGCCAACTTGGCCCGTATCGTTGGACCACCGGCTGCCATTCGGGGACAAAAAGTTGTTCCGGGGCACGTGGCTTTGTTGATATGATATGAAAACATAAAGATCAAGATAAGATCAGATTAGTGGAAGCCTATCCGAACTCCCAACTGGGTGTTTGTGACCCCAAATTTGTTAATTTTCATATTTAAAACCAAATTTTTTAGAATAATTATTTTATTCAAAATTTTAGAGATTAATATTCTTCATAAATTTAACAAAATGTTATAATTTGAGATTTTTTAAAACATTAAATCAAAATTTTTAAGATGTACTCACATAGTGTTTTTTTTTTTTTAAAAAAACACATTTTAAATTTTAAATTTTAAATTTTAAAATTTTTATTAAAAAAAATAAAGTTATAAAAACTCCCATAGCCAAATCCACAAAGCATGCTGCCGCCCCATCAACTTTGCTTCAATGGTGATCTGACGCAGCATCAATATTCCACGATTCCCATCCAAACCGCAGTCACATTCTGTGACGTAATTTCTGTTAGGTATTATATGGTTTGATCTGAGTTTTTAGTTTGGTTTTGAATTTTTATATTTAAATTTCATTAATTGTGGAAAATTAATTTTAATTTGTTTTGTAGATCAGGATTTTTATCTTAACTTGTAAAAATTTATCAATTAATGTTTTATAATGTAAAAACACTGTTCCAAATAGTCTCTTCTAATATTTTTTTTTTTCGAACTTTGGAACTTTACATTTGATTTTGTAAAAATCAAGGGATTTTGATTTTCTATAAACTAGAAAAGTTAAAAGAAAATCCTAGACAGCACTCCAAACAGTAAGGCGATGGATAAAATAAATGCTCCAATATTTTCTCCAATTTTTAGAATTTAAAATTTTCCCTAGATTTTCTTTCTATCTTTTATGGGCACTCAATTTTCTATAACTATTAAGGGAGAAAATAAATGAATTTTCTCCCATTCCAAATAGTCAGCTTTTTTACACTAATATTTACTTTTAATTTTTTATTTATCAAAATAAGTTTTTTTTTTTTATTTGAGGAGTCAATAGTAGAAAAACCAATTTTGAAAATTAATTTAAGATGAGCCAACTTCTTTTTGGAACTCGGTTTAGAAATGAAGTCAGTTTTGATCAAACCAATTTTCAGACAAAAGCCAATTTGATCAAAATTGAATCAAAAGAGGGCAAAATGGGATGGAACAATATCAAAGAGAGCAAGAGGTGAAATGAGTGTGGTGAAGCAACGCCAATTGGATGACGGTGAGGAAGAGCAAGGATGGATGAAGAGAAAAAAACAAGAGAGGAGACAAGCCTTCAATCAAGTTCTACTTAACCAATTTATACAATGAGCTGATTTCTCATTTAATTTGCTTCCAAATCAAGATAAACTAGTTCGGTCTTAAATTTAGAGCCTTAGGTATTGAAATTGGGTTGCAAATGGTAGAATTTCAATGCTATTGGACTAATGCTGTTTTAGCTCTCTTAATCCTTATTTTTCATGACCAAGCCTTTAGTTGTATTATTGCCAGATATGGGAGGTAAACGGTATTTGAAAACTACCTAACGAGCCTCACCTAGCGTAGACGAAGATTTTAAGTTGAGTTTTTAGGTTGCTTGCATTTTTTGAAAGGTTTGATTTTTTTTCTCTTTTCAGATCGTGCAGATTTTATTCAATTTTTCTTTTAACGATGATTAATGATAGTAAATAACACGGTGGTATTTGATCAATAGCTTGTTGAATTCACCGATATAAGGTGGTCTCAACTTTGCTAGTCTAATCCTTAGATGGTGGCTAGACATTGACTTATAAAGCCAACTTTAGAGAACCAAGCTCATCACCTCTAATATTCTTCCTTTTTCTTCCACCCTTGTTCTTTCTTGCCATTGGTGTTGCCTAGTTGGCACTGCTTGGTTGTACTTACTTCCACCTCTACCTTCGTCCCATCCACCCCCTTGTGTTTTGAGCGATTTTTTTATGAAAAAATCAGTTTAAGTGGATTCAATTTTTATTTGAAATTTGATGTACCTTATATCGATTATATAATAAAAAGTTAATTTTTACGCAAATAATTACCTTGATAAATAACGGAAGAAAACATATTTTTATCACCAAAAGGTTAAAAATAAATTTTAGTATAAAAAAGGCCATCGTAATCTCCGGCGTTAGTTCGTTTGGTCAAATAACACGGGACGTGACTAAAATCTATCGTATCTGTACCTAAACAAGGAAAATCCACCGTTCCATTCACCTCTGTCTTTTAGTCCTTTTTATAATCTCGGGGCCTCGCCGTTAACCTTGCCAGATAAGGTCAAATCATGGCTCCTTTATTCACGTTCCGACGTGGCAACAGCTCGACCGTCACTGTCTCCGGCCCCACTGTCCATTATTGCCCGCCATCGCCAAGACCCATGAAGCAAACCCACTTGCCTTTCCAATCCCCTTCTCTGAAAAGTTGAACAGAACGGCTAGGATATAGATATAGTAATACGAAAGTACGGTATAGAGCGATACAGGCGTAAGTCTATCAGCGCTTTTACTTGGAACAGAGAAGAGATAGAAAAGCCCTAATGGCGGAGGCGGAGAAGAGGGGCGCCGCCGGGGTGGCGACGGCGGACGAGGGGGACAAGGAGGAGGAGAGGTTTCTCGGGGGCGTGACGGTGCTGGACTTTGACATGCTGTGCTCCACCGTTGCAATGCAGACGGAGGGAAAATATAGAAAATTGCAGGTCCATGACGAAGGCGAAGGTGGGCAAGACAAGGAATTCGGTGGAATTCTGAGGATGTGGGAAGGTGAGCTCCTGGATTGCTTCGAAGACCGCAGAATCGCTCTCGAATCCGCTTGGTGAATCTGCTTAATCCCATTCTCTCTGTCTCTAAATATTTATCTATTAAAGTCCTGATGACAGTTTCATAGGTAGACATAATTTTTTTGTTGGCGGGCGGGGGGGGGGGGGGATCGGACACGGCTATACATGCTTGAGAAGAAAATTCGTTCTCGTCATAATAACATCCCCTCTCTCTCTCTCTCTCTCTCTCTCTCTCTGTACACACACACCCACCCAAGCTCCCACTATTGTGTTATGCTATTGTTGTCTGATAACAATTTCGTAGATAAACTTGAAACCATTTTCAAGGCAATAAATGACTACGTCACCATTCTTTTCTTTTGGGATCATGAAATCTGGGTGTTTTTCTTTTTCTTGATTTTGTATTAATTTTTTTTCCTTTTTCTGAGCAATTTTTTTCCCACTGAATTGGAAGTTGAATAGTTAGAATTAGTATTTACCTCTTCTCCTTCAATGTGTTTTCATAACAGTACTGGCTGCTGATAAGTCTCTTTCTCTCTCATATGACTTTTTGATTGCAATTGTATCGTGATGGAGGGATGTTCCTGTAACTTAAATAAGAAAATTGTATTTGGATTATGATTGTACTTTGTGCGTGACTTGAATTGTGCTTTTGCAGTTGTCCATGCTACAGATTTGGGAAGAACATGAGACGGGCTGGTTTTGGTTCTTGTTTTGTTCAGGTAACTTCTCTTGTTAGTAAAATTCTTCTTTGTGGAGGAGTTATTGGACCTTGGTATGCATCTTTAAAGGAAAAACGACCATAAGAGTACTTATCAAGAAGTACTGGAGCAATTTGGCATTCCCCCCTTCTCTCATTATTTTTCTTGTGATTTGGAAATTGAAATATGTCCAACATGCAAAAAACTCACTAGAGCAATATGTTTTAAGGTAAATATAGAGACAAGTAGACAACCCTAGCAAAGTAGTTCAGTTATCACCTTTTGGAAAATAGTGATCGCAAGGACCCTTTTAGCATCAAGAATTCATAATTCCCCTTCAGTGCCTATTATGGGTCTCTGAAATCATTTATTTAAAAATTATTTATTCATTTTCTTTTTCCATTTTTCTTTGAAGGTTTTAAGTGGAAATGACTTATTGCAGAGGAACACATTTTAACCTGTCCCATTTTTGAACCAGACATTTTTTGACAGATCATTAGGGCCGTAATATTTTTCATGTCCAGCGTATAAGTGTGCAGCCCTTGATTTATTTCACGTCATTTTTAGGCTTTTAGCCCAACATATAGTCTGATTTATTATTGTCCTATTCCTTTTTCTTTTATCTTCTTCTTTTCCCCTTTTTTACTCAATGCACACAAGCAATTTAATTCAACTTGTCTCATAATGTTGTAAAACTTTGTCCACATAAGCTGCACTGATGACTTCATCTTGTGCCAAATTGAAAGTTAAGAGAAAGCATACAGTTGATGTGAAAACCAGTTGCAATTATCACATAAGTAATGAACAAAATATAGATTCTTCATTCTTCCTTCTTATTTGTACCATGGAATTCATCCTTTTTCTTTAAGCAACTAAGGTAGTTTTACTAAAAGGTTGAATTTTCAATGTGAATATCTGTGCAGGGACTTGTATATTTCATTTTTGCTGCTGCTGCACTTATCAACTATACAGCCTTTATTTTGAAAAGGAGAAACTTGTTTCTATTTCTGGGCATTGCTTTCTCCGTATCTATTGGAGCGTATTTGGGATTTTACCGCACACAAATTAGGAAGAAGTTCAACATCAGGGTAAGCATTCTTATAGAAAGATTGTTGTGATTTTACTTTGTTCTGCTCCTAGTTTAACACGCTTAGTTTGCTTGCAAAATTTTTCTGACTCAGTTTACATTTGTGATGATATTCCATACATGCATTTTGGCTAATGTGCAGGCTGATTTCTACTTTTTTGGTCCAGAGTATAAATAACCAGGCTGTATATGATCAACTTATTTTCTTCACTTAATTGCCATGTGCAAAAGTGTAGGCAATTTCAGATCCTCCACCTGTCCATTTTTCCATTTCTCCTGCCAGGCTTGCCCCTTTTATTCTCATTCATTTAAATTAATCTCTGCGAATGTCCTTTTTCCTGTTTCTCACTTGATGCCCCAACAACACAGATGACATGTATATATAGGCCCTAAGATGGCCATTGGCCTTCCCAAAGAGTTAGCATCACACCCAAGGCTGTAGCGGTTACCTACTTTAGGAAGATTCTAATGATTCTTTGGAGGGGTTAACTTAAGTCACCAAAATGTCACACCAATTGCAAAAGGCACCCAACAATTCTGCCCTCATCGAATTAATTGGTGGTTAATCATCGATTCTTGGGTTGGCACCACCATAATCACCATGTATGACCAAACATCCTCCTTATGGACTGCATCTTCATGTTATGTTAGCTATTCTTCCAAAAGATTCCACTTCCAAAGTTTTCAAACCTGCTTTGGCTTTTAGTAAATACTAGAACTCTTCTAGGATGATCTATCGGCTCAGAAGTATGGTTCCCTCAAACTGGCATCTTATCTTCCATGGTCTTGAGCCATTCTGTGTTGTCCCTAGCTTCTTCAAGACTTAAGTTCTTTAGTTGCATGCTCGCTGAAGGATACTGAGTTCTTTCCCTAGCTATTCCACTTGACGAGGATTTCTTAGCAGATTTTGAAGTTTTTGAGTGTTCATCAATCTTTGATTCCTCTTACTTTAGAATAACATTTTTCTCAATCTTAACTCCAGGCATGCTCCCCCTGAAACTTGCATCATTGTGGAAAAAGTCTCAAAGACTCTGGCATTTGTCTCTTTCAAATTCTGAGTCTTGGTGATATATAAAGCTTTCTCCTCCTTTCCATGACAATTATCATATTGTCTTTGGTGAGCTACCATTTACTGTTGCCAAATTGATTCATTAACCCAGAATTGTCAAGTGTCCTGGTGGGGATTATATTTAGGCAAAACATGTCTCACATTCTTTAGAGTGAGTTTGCATCTATTGCTTGTCAAGAGAGTGATGTAACGAAGGTCTGTAATCCTGGTATGATATCTTGGTCGTGATTTGATCTTTTGTCTTGAGAGTGCCGAACTCACCCTCCTAGTTGGTGGAGAAGAGACTTTTGTGAGGGGTAATATGAAATGAGGCTTTGGAATTAGTGCTCCACGCATAGTCATCATGGGCCATGTTAGGACTGTTATCATCTCAAACTATAAAGATGTCTTTGTCATGTGTGATGGCTATATCAATTTGATCATCTTCCTTCCTTTGAGTTTGATCCTTCTTGATGTTTCTTGCTTTTTGATCTCTCCTGAGTTATTTGCATTCAAACTTCTTGTGGCTAGGCTTTCCATAGTAGTAGCAAGTGTATTTGGGATGAGACTTGAAGTGTGATGTAGAACACTTTCAGATTAGGGTTTTGGCAGTTTTGGACTAATGAACAGAGTCGTGTGAACAGTAACAGAGTCGCGTGAACAGTAACTTGTGCGGGAACAGTAACTGGGGAAGAAACAATGATAACAAAGAGAAAGAATATGAAGAAACCCTAGGAATCACTCATAGAAATCTTTAGGAGTCACACCTAAAGTTGGATTGTATCACACAATCCCAAACTCAAGAAACCCTAGAAGATATCTCTTAATAAAATCAATAATAATGTTTTAAACATAACCCTAGGACAGTATTTATAAGGGAAATCCTGTGCTGCCCTAATAAGTAAAATGACCTAAATGCCCTTAATGAAGTAATTTAAATAGAATTAAATAAAACCCTAACTAACCCTACACAATGCAATTAATTAAAAAAAAAAAACTCTAAAATAAAAATAAACAAATTAACTAAATTTTTAAGCTCTTCTAAGCTCCCAGGTAAGATCTCCATCCTCCAACTCATGCCAAATCAAAGTTTGAGCTTTGGAAGAGTTAGTTCCTCGTCTTTTATAAACCTTAATGGGTTGCTGCAATTTATCTCTATCATTTCTCCTTGGCTTGAAAAAACTCGACTCCGGCGAGTTAAATGCATGAAATTCCTCATAGAAATCAGGATCAAGTTTCTGAAAATCAACCTCTGAAATCCATGTACAATCTGATAATGGACGGCCTTTCCATTTGATAAGGAACTTTTGGGATCCTCCACTGCGAGTTGAGACCAATTGGTGATCAATAACATCTTCAATCTCTTCTTTTAAGTGTGCTGTTGGTGGAAACTTTGTTGTAGGAATAGCAGCAGCAGCACTAGAATCATCTTTATGACCTGTATATGCAGTCAAATCTTCAACATTGAAAACATTACTAATGCCAACATCATCTGGTAACTGAAGGACATAAGCATTGGAACTAATCTTCTTGAGAATCTTGTAAGGACCAGCACTTCTAGGATGAAGTTTCTTATAGGAACCTCTAGGGAACCTCTCAGGACGAATACGAACCATAATCATATCTCCCTCTTGAAAATCAGCAAAGCACCGTCGCAAATCTGCATGAGACTTGTATTTCTCATTGCTGATTGCAATTTTTCTTCTAACATCATCATGTATATCCAGGATATGCCTAGAAAAAAATTCAGCTTCAATACTAGGACGAGCTTCGAGAGGCAAAGACATCAAATCAATTGGTTGTCGAGGCTTCAAACCTGTCACCACTTCAAAAGGACTACGTCCAGTGGTTCTATTAACTGAACTATTGTATGCAAATTCAATAATATGTAAAATTTGATCCCAATTAGATGCATGTTCTCCAACTAGATATCGTAAAAGATTTTCCAAACTGCGGTTAATTGCTTCAGTCTGTCCATCTGATTGTGGATGAAAAGACGATGAAAACTTCAATTTAGTTCTTAACATCTTCCATAAACTTCGCCAAAAGTGGCTCATGAACTTCACTTCTCGGTCTGAAACTATGGTTAAAGGTAGCCCATGTAGTCAAACAACCTCTTTGAAGAAAACCTTTGCAATATGGACCGCATCGGAAATCTTAGAACAAGCTATGAAATGCGCCATCTTAGAGAACCTGTCAACCACTACAATAATAGAATCATGTTCTCTGATTGTTTTAGGCAATCCAAGGATAAAATCCATGCTTAGGTCTTGCCAAGGCTCATAAGGTATGGGCAGAGGTGTGTAAAGACAGGTATTCTTCTTGGTTCCCTTAGCTAATTGGCATACTCGACAATGGGAAACAATTTTAGCAACATCTTGCTTTAAACTTGGCCAATAAAAATGGTCTTCAACCATAGCAATTGTTTTATCTCTTTCAAAATGTCCAGCTGCTCCTCCGCCATGTAATTCCCAAATGACTTGTTCCCTTATAGAAGTATTAGGCAAACAAAGGGAAGTTCCCTTGAAAAGGTAGCCATCCTGCAATGAGAAACCTGCACAATTAGTTTGCTGTCCAGACTGTAATTCTGCAAAAATAATGCTAAAATTTTTGCAACTACTGTAATCTTTCTTCAACAAGTCAAATCCCACCACTTGAATGGCCATTGAAGTAAGAATGTGCACCACTCGACTTAGTGCATCAGCTACTCTATTTTCAGTTCCAGCTTTGTGTTTGATAACAAATGAATATTGTTGCAAAAAAGAAACCCACTTTCCATGTTGAAAGTTCAAATGTTTTTGGGAGTTTATGTATTTTAGTGCCTCATGGTCGGAATACAACACAAACTCCTTGAAAACAAGATAGTGATGCCAATAGCGAATAGTTTGTACAATTGCATAAAATTCCTTATCATAAGTAGAGTGCCTTTGCCTTGCTTCATTCAACTTCTCACTGAAATTGGCTATTGGGTGGCCTTCTTGACTAAGTACTCCACCAATCCCAATATGTGAGGCATCACATGCCACTTCAAATACTTTTGAAAAATCTGGTAGTCGTAGGACAGGAGCTTTAGTCATCATTTTCTTGACTTCTTCAAAAGCTCTAGTGGCAGCTTTAGTCAAGTGAATTGACCTTTCTTCAAGCAATTAGTTATAGGAGCCATTAAAGTGCTGAAACCTTTAATGAATCGCTTATAGAATGTAGCTAAACCATGGAAACTCCTTACTGCATGTAATGTTGTAGGAAGTGGCCATTCTAGAATCGCCTTGACTTTATTTGGATCAACTTCAATTCCATTGGCAGAGACAACAAATCCCAAAAATACCACACTTGTGGTCATGAAACAATACTTCTTGAAATTAATGTAAAATTTCTCATGGCGTAGGATCCTCATTACTTGTCGGAGATGATCAATGTGCTCTTCATTGTTCTTGTTGTAAATTAAAATGTCGTCAAAATATACAACAAGAAACTTACCAATAAAAGGCTGAAAAATGGTGGTCATAACTCTCATGAAAGTACTTGGAACATTAGAAAGACCAAATGGCATACCAAGCCATTCATACAACTCGTCCTTTGTTTTAAAGGCTGTTTTCCATTCATCTCCCGGGCGAATACGAACTTGATGATAACCTTTTCTTAGGTCAAGTTTAGAGAAAATACAAGCTCCAGCCATCATATCAATCATATCATCAAGTTGAGGTATTGTAAACCTATACTTAATGGTGATCTTATTAACCGCACGGCTATCCACACACATCCGCCAAGTTCTATCTTTCTTTGGTGTAAGTAATGCTGGAACTGCACAAGGACTTAGACTTTCACGAAAATGTCCTTTAGATAAGAGCTCTTCAACTTGCCTCTTAAGTTCTGCATACTTTGTAGGATTCATACGGTAAGCAGGAAGATTAGGTAATTGAGATCCAGGCACAAAATCTATAGCATGCTGAATGCTGCGCATTGGTGGCAGTTCATTAGGTAAATTCTCAGGAGCAACATCTGAAAATTCAGCTAACAAGTTAGACACTTCAGGAGCTACTTGCAATGGAGCATTTATAGAGTCATGTATCTCCCTAACTACAAGAGCAAAAATCACCCCATTCTCTTTGATCTCACTTTAACACGGTTTC